ACAGAGTCCAGGCTGGTCCTAAACTCCTAATCCTTCTGCCTCCACCTCCATCCTGATGGGACTATAGACATTCCTGACCATGCCCTTGCCTCACATGCCCCTAGAACTCTTAGAGTTTACAAGCCTTTGCTATTGACTTTTTGTGTTCAGATGGGTTTTGAAAGAAGCTGAATATCCTGTTTTTCAATTCCATAATAAAAATTATATCAAACTATTGGCAGAATTCCACTCAAGTGAAAACACAAAAATACCAATCATTTATGTGTGTGACAGACTATTTGGAGAACTTGAGATTCTGTAATGTGGACAATACTGAAAATACAGGAACCCTGCTTGTTTTATCATCAAGGGTTATAGAAATAGTAAGAAACAACAGCAGTATTTAGGTTGCATTTAATTAGACTAGGGGTGTTACCTAAGTGTTTAACACTACTTGCATACCAATCGTTGGGATTAGGTTGGGTGTTTCATGTTCTTTACCTCTCACCAAAGAACTGAAAATAACAGCTCATACAGATTAGAAAAATTATCAAGATAATTTTATTGGAAACAAGGTGATAGTACAGATTAAAGATGAGTATACCATCAAAAGTGAACAGTAGGCCACAAAACCAGAAAATGAGTACTCAAGGGCTCCAGGCTAGAACCTGGGCTATCTTTTCCTCTTGTTTCTGGTTTTTTTCAAGACAGTGTAGCCCTGGCTGTCCTGAAACTCACTCTATAGACCAGGCTGCCCTTGAACTCCTGAGACTGCCTATCTCTGCCTCTGGATTGCTGGAATTAAAGATGTATGTCAACACTGCCTGGTTCTGGGGTACCTTTTTATGGGGTCTAAAGGAAGAAGAGGCTGGCTACAAAGGAGTAGTTTTCTATTTTGATTGATAGATTAGGTTAATACATTTACTTTCTTATTGCATATATTCCTTCCCATAATGGATCTGATTTTCATCATATGTACACTCAATTATGCTTATGCACAGGATGGTAAATAGAAGGAACACTGCTTGTTACAAGCATAAAAATTTATGTACTAGAGCCAGGCAAAGTGGTGCATGACTGTAATCCTAGCACTCAGGGAGACAGAGGCAGGTGGGTCTCTGTGATTTTGAGGCCAGCCTGATCTACAAAGTGAGTACAGGGCAGCCAAACCTACACAGAGAAAACCCGTCTCAAAAAAAGATTTTTTTTTCAAAATAATAAATGTTTGATCAGGCGATGGTGGCACACTCCTTTAGGCTAGCCTGCTTTGTAGGACAACAGAGAAACACTGTCTCAAAAACAAAACAACCCCCCCCCCAAAAAAAAAAAAAAGTTTGGTCAATGATTTTGAGTTCTTCATAGATCTATGCAGTCTAAAAAGATGTGGCTAAATTTTATTTTACCTTTGTGACAGCTTCGAATAAAGTGGCAGGGCTACAACTCAAAATAAGTTAATATTTTTATTCATTATTATCCTGTGATTATTACTTAAATAAACTTGTCTTTGCTACAGAGTGAATGTTCTTGTCTCCCCAATTTGACGGTATTGGGAGATGGGGCCTTTTGTAATTGAGAGCCCTCCTGGGTGGAATCAGTGATCTAAGCAGGTATTTGGTATCTAGACCTTGTGGAAATACAGCTAGATGACTGCCTATAAGCCAAGACACAGGCCCTCACCTGACACAAGATCTGCCGGTACCTTGACCTTGGACATTCCCACCTACAGAATTGTGAGAAATAAATATCTGCCATTTAAGCAGATATATGCGGGTCCCTCCCCCCACTTTTGTAATGCTAGGTATTCAAACACAGGCTCTTCCTATGCTAGACAAAGGCCACACCTCTGGTCTACATCCTCAGCACACTATTTTTGTTACAGCCGTCTGAGCTGACAGAAACACTCTCTAAAAGAACTTGTCTATTCTCATTAGCTTAAGGTGAAACAAAACAAACACCAAGAAGTACAGGCTTATGGCAACTGCACACGGCTCTGAATTAATATTCCTCTCAGCTCTTAGCCCTCATGCCCACTCCATCCATGTTTTAGGCAGCAAGATGGAGTAGGAAAAAAGAATGTGATGTCAGCAAGGAGAAGGGCACATGTGATTACATGAGGTTATTGGGCTTGAGCTACTGTTTGCTGGAATATAACCTAGGGCACTGAATGTGAGCTTATGATCATTGCGAAAAACAACTGGGCAAAGGACAATGTACAAAAGTTCATCCTGAAAAGCTTAATTGCCTTTTTAAGGTCAGGAAACATCTCATTCCATAAAATAGGATGAGTGTTCTGATGAACCAAACAAGAGTTTCAGTTAAAAAACAAAACAAAACTGAACTACAGAAAGCAGAAATAAAAAGTGAAATGAGTTACTTTTTTTGTAGGGTATGGGCAGGACATAAAACAAATAGATTAACTTAGATCATTTGCCCAGAATCCAGAAGCCCTGGGTTTGATCCCCAGGGTTGCAAATCAAAACAAAACAAAAACAATATATTTTCAAACTCCCTACTATCAGGTCACTTCCTAATATCAGGTTACCTTTTTATGTGTTCTGATTAAGGTGAAGGGAACTACACAGCTCTAAATGTAATAGTTTTGTATGAAAGAAAATAAAAATAAATTAATTAATTAAAGGAATTATGAGAACCTCCAATATACTTAAAAGTGTTTTTTTGCTCTCCCCAAATTCTCATTTATCCAAAGATAGTCTTTTACTTTTGATATAAAAGTTTTACATCAAAACTTTTTTTTTTTTGTTTGTTTCAGAGTAACTTTTTGTTTTGTGTGTGCGTTTTGAGACATTATGTAGCCTTGGCTGTTCTGGGACCACTTTATAGACCAGGTTGGTTTCTAATTCACAGAGGTCTCACCTGCTTCTTTCTCCCCAAGGGCCAGGATTAAAGGCATGTTCTACAAAGCCAGGCCAGAATAACTTTTTGTCTGTCTGCTTGGTTTTTGAGACAGGGTTTCCTTGTGTAACATCCCTGGCTGTCCTGGACTCCCTTGGTAGACCAGGCTGGCCTGGAATTCAGAGATCCACCAGCCTCGTGCTAGGATCAAAGGCGTGCACCGCTACAACCGGCTCAGAATAACTTTTTTAAGTGAATGAAAATGTTTGAGGATTTAGGGTTAAGGAGGTACTAGGGTTTTTTTCAGCACACACTCCATGTAGCAAACTAACTTAAAATGTTAGTATATATGTGTATACATATATATATTAGATAAATTTACATTTATATTGTGTTATATTTTTATACATAAAAATACTTTTGGGGTATTTATCTTTATAGTCAGCCAACAGAGATTTAGTTACCTGGGAAGGCCAATGGAATGGCAAAAGTCTTCCACTTTAAACACCGGCGAGGGCTAAAGGAGCAGCTATCCCTTTCAACAAATTTCGAGATTCCCAAGACAGATAACATCCATATAAATGACTTATGAGAAAACTTGGAAAGTTGTAAATAAAGTCGAGCACTTTGAAAAAGCCCGTGTTTTCCATGAATTCCTATATCCTGAAACTCAAGAGATTCGGGGATCTGTTAGTAAGAAAAAAGCTGTGTAAAGCAAGAGGAAGTGGCATTTCGACCTAGAGTGCACTTTAACCTAATACCTATAAAAACAGCCTGTTGTTTTTCTTCAAGGATATCAAGCAGCTCGGATATCAAGCCTCAGCCGCCACCCAGCGACGCTGATGACGGGCAATGAGTCCCAGCTGCAGCAATTAAGGCCGAGGCGTCTCCTTTAAGAAGCTGGCTCACGTGGATGCTGTGTTGTGTGCGCTCAGCTGGGAAGGGAGGGGCCGGGCCTCAGCCTCACTACATTGGCTGCCTCGGCCGAGCGAACCTCCTTGATTGGTTGGAAGGATGCAAGGTGTCGACTTGGGGGCGGGACGAGCAGCGATGAGTCCGCCCATCCTCTGCGGCTTCGGGGCGGGGTGGGCGGCGGAGGGTAGGAGAGCACGAGTGGGGGAGGGCGGGCCCGGGTAGGGGCGGGGCCCGGCGGAGGGGGCAGAGTGCCAGGGGGAGGGGCGGAGCCTAGAAATGAAGGGTGCTGCGGGCCAACCGGGAGAGCCGCCTGAGGAGAGGGCGGGGCCACGCCGGGTGATTGACGCCGAGGCCAGACCGGGGAGAGGCGGGGCCAAGGCCTGACTAAACCTGAAGACTTGGAGGCCGAGGGGCTTTCGACCCAGCTGAGGAGTGAAGAGCTGCTGGCAGCGCCGAGCCCCAGCGCGCAGGTGAGTGCGGCGGCGGGGCCGGGCTCGGGGTCGGCGGGGGCTCGGCGCCCTTGGGCCGGCGGCTTCGAAGCCCTCGGGGAGCGGCCCGGGGCGGGGGCCGCTGGCAGGAAGTGACTCTTCCCTCTCCCCACCCGCCCAGGGTCCCGGCGCGGCCCCCGGGGTCCGCTCGGGGCCGTCGGGCCGGGCCGTGGCTCTTTGTGAGGTCGGGCCGCCCCCGCCGCGCAGCCGAGCGCCCCGCAAGCCCGCAACAGCCGCGACGACCCCCCAGCCCGGCGCTCCGCGGCCCCCGCTCGCCTCCCCGCGGCTCCCGGCGGCCGCGGCCCTCGGACGGCTCGCCCGGTG